TGCAGGTATGAAAAGCCATGCTCTAAAAGAGATGAAAACTACAGGAAACTGAAGAAAGAATCAGATCATTCTGATCTGATGAACTATTACAAGTGTAACTACTGTTATAAGGTCATTATCACCTTATAGCACACACTGTTGATGTTGACAGTACCTGCCTTTGGTTTTTGTTGAAGTTTGCTAGACAAGGTGGTGGTAATAGCTGCAGAAGAAGGAATAATTTTTTTTTATTCTTAGTATAATCACTTAACTATAACATTGCTAAAGTAAAGCATGGGGAAGGGAAGAGATCATTTTGAGCTTTTGCTGGTTTTTAATACCGATATGCATTTGGGCCTATCTGCTTGTGTGCATGCATACATGTGTATGTGTGTGTATATGTGTGTGTGTGTATGTGTACTAAGTGCACATCTGATTCAGTTATGCACATAAAAACACAGTGGGAATGAAAACTCAGTTTTTATAAGGCCTGATTGTCCCCAGTGGAAGGTAAACATGTATAAAAGAGGATAAAATACTATGAATAATTATGAATAAAGCAGCAGGCAGCTGCTCTAATAAAAATATCACAGTGCTAATAATAAAATGTTTAATACATAAGTAGAAAAATTAATTTTCTTGGTCCAGACATAAAGACTCTAATGACCTTTTCTTCATGAGTAGACACAGAATACTTGGTTGGTGCATTAGAAATCAGCAAGACCACACTTGACATGTTTATATTAGTTGAAAGAAAAACATACAATTTCTAGACTAGTCACCTTATTCTTTTTTTTTTTAAGAGGGAATGGGGGTTAAGTGACTTGCCCAGGTCCTCCTGACTCCAGAGCTGGTGCTCTATCTACTGTGCCACCTAGCTGCCCCCAGCCCCACCTTACTCTTTAGTCTCCAAAGACCCAATATAGAAGCCACCCAACTTCTTTCTTTTAGTGATGCAGATTTGATCCCTAAAACATCATTTTCTTTTGTATATCATAGTCTTTCTCTAAACAATATTATTTCTGCAAAATGAAAAAAAATTTGGTCCACTGAGTTCTGGCTGACGCTATATTTTGTTGTTCAAGGCACTCTAAAAGTAGGAAAACTTTTTGGCAATCTTAGAGCATTTCTGGATACCAATTCATCCGAAAAAGATCTGAGGGTTTTAGTGAAATGCAAGCTCAATATGATCAAAGTCAGTCTGATGCAATAGGTAGCTCAAAAACATAAATGTAACCTTGGGCTGAATTAAGAAAGATACAGCTTCTGAGAATAAAGAAGTGACAATCTCTTCATGCTACTCTAATCTGGTCATACCATGCCTAGAACTTTTTCAGTTCAGGTGCTACATTCGAAGGAAGATCAGTTATAAGATGGATGGAAAGCCTCAAGAGGAGGCAATCTTGACCGAATGCTTCATGAGGAGTAGTTGGAGGAAATGGGACTAATCAGCCTGGAGAAGCCTGACTCAGGAAGAAGATGAAAATTGTCTTCAAATATATAAAGGGCTGGCATGTGGAATGATGATTAAAAGGCAGGGCTAGAACCTATGGGTGGAAATTTTAAAAAGGTGAAAATAGGCTTAATGAAAGGAAAAATGTCCCAATAATTAAAGTTATCCTAAAGTAGAATGGGCTGCTTTGGCAGAAAGAAGGTTCTCCCTTATGAGAGGTCTTAAAATAAAGACTTGTTGACTATTTGCCAGTATGTTATGGAGGGAATACATTTTTTTTTTCTGTTACAGATTGAACTAGAAGGTCAATGAGGTTCCTTCTACCTCTGAAATTCTGTGATTCTAATTCATGTCTGTTGGTCACTCAGAGAAAAATTCTAGAAATCTGAAAATATATCAAATTGTCCATACTAGCTCAAGTTAACTACAAGTGCTGGGCTTTACATGATAATGCAGCAACAATTGATTATTATATATTGCTGAGGCATGGATGGCTGAATCATTTGGTTTCAGTCATAATAGCTAATATATTTAAGTTCACACATTTCAGATAAGAACTAAGGTCCCTTTCAAGCTCTAAAATTCTATGAATATAACTATCAGGCTAGAGTGACTTCACTATAAATGAATGAAAGATTAATCACAATTACTAACTCTTTGAGGGTACAATTGTCATTAATCCTTTATTGTGTTAATAGGATCAAAGAGAGTAATCAAAATAAACTTCTATGGTTTTTAAAGGAACAAAGTGTCAATATAATGAGGGTTTTTTTGTGGGGGAGGAGTACGGGTGGTACAGTAGGCAATAGGGTCTATACTGTTTTTGGTTTCCATATTGCCTGAAATTTTTAGTATCTTAAGCCTGAATATCTATGAGCAAAGAAACACTTTACCAAATTGTCCCTTTCCCTGGGTTCTCCCTCCTTCTCTGTGTTCTCCTTATTCTAACCTATGAATTGATTTCCAATCCTAAGAATGGATTTCCAACTCAGTGCATTAGAAGTATCATTATATAGTGGAAAGACTACTATATGGGTCTAGCTTTTGGTTCTGGCTTGGTCATACTAGGTGTACAACCTTGAGCAAGACACAATTGCTCTCATTCATAAAATGTGAGAGTTGGCCTAGATGATGCCTAGGTACATTCTAGTTCTAAGATTCTTTTATATAGAGATTCAAGATAGACCAAATATTAATTTTCAAACATTAAATATATTCTAAGTCAAAACTAGAAGGTACTGATGAATGAATCAGATGTAAATTGGGGCACCATCTGAAATGACCTTAAGGAAGTCTGCAATGGTTAAGTAAAATCAAGACTTACTGGCCTTACCATGGTCCTAGATACTGGCTGACACAGTGGATAGAATGTTTGATTTGGAGTCAGGAAGGCCAGATTGGTCATACTAGCTATGTGGCATTGGGCAAGTTACTTAACCTTCTTCCAACACAGTTTCCTCATCTGTAAAATGGGGATAATGACATAAGGTTATTGTGAGGTTCATGTGAGACAATATATGTAATCACTGTGCAAACATGGCATGATCTAAATGTTATTATAGCTATTATTTTCTTGTATGTGGACAAGAAGAGTAGGCAAATGACCCAGGATAATAAGGGTTATCTCAAATGTTGGATAGCACAACTGTATTGACATCAGAGCACTTGTATGGGCTTCACTTGGAGAAGAGAGACGAAATTCTACAAAGTAACTCTGAATTTCTCTAAATTAGTAAAATTATGATTTCAGCTTGCACACATAGGACACCTGCCTGAAGAAAGTACTTTAAAGATGTGTTGCTGGAGAACAAGTAGATATTTGGAAGTTAACATTTCCAAATGCTAATCACTGTTATCATTACTGAGGGTAATAATCATAACAATAAAATGGCATTCATATAATTCTTTAAAATTTTCAAAGTCCTCTCTATATATATATCACTTTATTGGAGACTTGTAACAACTCTTTGCAGTATCATTGTCCCTATTTTACAGATGAGGAACCTGAGGCTCAGAGAGATTAGGGGACAGCCCATTTCTTTTGCTGGATCTTCATCCAGAGCAAACCCGTTAAGTGTGGATATCTCTTATAGCTCTGTCCTGGGTCCTCTTCTCTTCTCCCTTGATACTGTTTTACTTAGTGATCTCATCAGCTCCAGTGGATTTAACTATCATTTCTATGTAAATGATTTTCAGAATTACTTGCCCAGACCTAACCTCTTTCTTGAGCGCTAGTCTCACATCTCTAACTATTTTTAGTATATCTCAAACAGATATCTTGCAGACATCTCAACATGGTCAAAACTGAACTCATTATCTTTCCTCTAAAGTCCTCCCCTCTTCCTATTTTCCCTGTTATAGTAGAGGAGGGTTACCACAGTCTAGGTGCCATTTTGATTCCTTACTCTCTTACCTCCCCACATACATCTAAGCAGTTCCCAAGTCCTGTTGTTTTTACCTTCAAAACATTTTTCATCTATGTCTCCTTGTCTGCTCTGACACTACCACATCCTAGTATAAGCCCACATCAACCTTCAACACCCTGCTAGTTGGTCCCCAGGCCTCAAGTCTTTCCCTACTCCACTCTACCCTTTACTCAGCTATCAAATCGATCTTCCTAAAGGTTAAGTCTGGGCAGGTCACCTCCCATTCAATCAACTCCAGGGGCTCTCTCTTTCCTCCAGGATCAAATGTAAAATCCACTGTTTGGCTGTTAAAATTCTATAATATGGCCCATTTCCACCTATGTAACCTTCTTGCATCTCCCACCTCTCCACATACTTTGTGATCCAGTGACACTGGCTTCCTTGCATACCACATTGTATCTCCCAACTCTGAGTGCTTTTATTGGCTGTGCCTTATGCCTAAAACTCCCCAAAGCCATCTGCTGGCTTCCTTCAAGTCTCAACTTCTGCCATCCCTCAGAGATAATCCAAAACCTATCCATCTGATATCTTGTTCATATGTAGCTGTTTGTGCATTCTTCCCCATATTAGACTGTGGGCTCCTTAAGAATGATCTTTTGCCTTTCTTTGTATGTCCAAGACTTAGTACAGTGATTGGCATTGTAGGTGCTAATAAATGCTAGCTGACTGACTCTCAGAGGTGAAACTGGAAGATAGTTCTTTATAACTCCAAGTATTACTTCCTGTTCACTTTGCCATTTTGCCTTGCATACCGTAGTATGCTAGGCATGAAAGAATAAATTTGCAAGCCATCTTTGGGAAATGACAAATATTTGATCATGCTCAGTCTACTCAACTAGTGGATTCTAAATGACAAATGAGGGTGTGCCTCTTAGCTGCTAGAATTAACAAACAGAAATACTGGCCGCTGTTAAAAAAAAAAAAAAGGTAAAACAAGACCAAAAAATCCATTAAATGTCCCATTAAATAGAAAACAGATAATATCAGAAAATGAAAAGGGTATTTTTTTATGTGTGAGTAAGTGAGCATCTCCTCCAAGCAAAGTGGGCAGGTTGTATGGGAATAGCGGCACCAGAATAAGTGATATAAGCTTGTTGCTTAGGAAAGCTACACCATGACTCAGTCCAAACACAGTCGCAAACCTGTGGAGAGTGTCGAGTTCGGCGAATCAGACTTTTAGGATAAAAGAATTCAGATGAGGAACGTGGCATATTTGGAGGCTGCTGAGAAAAAAGAGAGAAAAAGAGAGAGAGCACGAGAGAGAGAGAGAGAGAGAGAGAGAGAGAGAGAGAGAGAGAGAAAATGAGAACAGGAGAAAACATGACAGAGAATGAGAGAGAAGAGAGGAAGAAAGGAGAAGGAAGGACGGTGAAGAAAGGAGGGGAAAAGAAGAGAAGACAGAGAGAGAACACACAGGAGAAAACATGAGAAGAGAAGAGAGGGAAGAAGGGAGAAGGATGGAGGCAGAAAGGAGAGGAAGGGGGAGAGAGAGAGAAAGAACACAAGAAAAGTGGAGGGAATAATAAAGCCATTTTCATTTCAGAATTACTATAACAGATATGTAGCTTAATGAGATTAAGAAATTTACCATTCACGAATAATTACAAATACATTATCTATGAAGTCAATAGCAAATGCAAGATCACAACAAGGACGTATATTGCCTGCCACAGAATGACCACGGTCCATGTGCAAAGTACGTGATCCCTTTAATAGGAATTTTAAAGGTGCTTGTTGATTGACTGGCTGCAGAATGGAGCTCTCCACCCTCTCCCCAGTCCCAGTAACTTTGGCCTGAAAATTCTTACAATACACTGATAAGTAAGACTACTGAGAAACTCTTAAGAATCTGTTTTTACAAACTTTGCCTGAGTTATAAAATAGCAAGACTGTGGATTACTCAGTGGGGATACTGAGAAGTTGTTTTTTTCCTATTTTACTATGGAAACTGCACTAAGGTTGTACACCGCACAGGGTTTGACTCAGGAATTGGCCACTGTAGAAATGCTCTCAAGAGATCACAAGATTGACTTCATCCATCCACAAGGCAGTTTTCTGATGATGCTGCCTTCAGGGTTCTCTATGTTAGTGAGTGCTCTGTAGGGACAACTAGAAGAGCTAGACAGACCATCATACGCTGGGGAGACATGAGATCCTTGGCGCTAGAGTTTTAGAGCTGGAAGGGACCTTAGAGTTCATTAAGGCTAACTTTTTTTATTGTAGGGATAGGAAAAATGAGACCTAGAGGGGATGAACTAACTTGCTCAAGGTCATAAGTATTAATTTGAACCCAGAGCCTTTGACTCTAAATTCACTACTCTTTCCTCTGAAGCATGGTGCTTGTTTTCACTGTAATATCCTCTAGATGGAAGGGAACTCAGTCGTTGTTGAATTGGACCCTCTGGCAGGAGAGCTAGGCTGAACTAGAGTATTACTGAATCCCCTCGTGAATTTCAGCTATCATATACAGATCTAAAGCATGAAAACACTGGGCTACTCCTGCCCAGTATGCATGAAGGAAAAAAAATTATATATGTGTACACGTATCCTTTATAATATACATAGATATGTATATCTAAATGTATGTATCTATATATATCTGTGTGTGTCTGTGTGTGTGTGTGTGTATACATACACACACATCTATGTATATTGCTATACGTATTCATCAGGATTTTTCACATGCTTTTCCAGTGATTCATATAAAGACGATTTTTAAAATTCTTGAAGCCTGTTTTTTGTCACCTTACTGAGATGATCTGTAAATAGAGGAAATCCTTATGGGGAAAAAAAAGTTAACTTCCATTTAGTCTGGCCTCTTAACACGTCCATCTTTACCTTTAAAAGACTCACTAAAGACTAGGGTAAAAGGATGGATGCAGAGCCCAACAACAACATCATGGAGATGGTAAGAGATGTGAGCAGAACTAACCAAGTGGTTTCTGGGTAGCATGGCATAACTATCTCTTGGCTATGCTCTATCGCATTTCCTATTTGAGAATAAAAGCCTTAAAAAGTCCTTTCCTTATGGTATCAGGGCTTTACTCAATCAATTCCCAGATCATTATATGCAAAACTTTCTGGAGGCAGGTCAATGGCTCAGTAATCTTTATGCCTTGCAGATGGGCAGTGGTGATACATAGGGGTTAAATGATGTTCTGCAGCTTCTGTTGTGTCCTCATTCAAACAGCAGGGCAAAACACTCTCCTTGTCCTGCTGCCTTCCATTCTGTATGAGTCTGCTTTTTTCTTAACCTTTGCCTAAGGAGTATGTTTGCACATCTCAGAGAAAGGAAAGATTCCCAAAACATGTGAATTGCAAAACATTGCCATCTGATTTGAGGCAGTAAGGTATCATTGTGGACTTGGAATCAGGAAGACCTGAGGTCTAGTACTACACTACTGACTGTGGTCCTAGGCAAGTCAACTGGCCACTTGGCCTTGGTTTCTTCATAAACAGAATTAGGGGGTTGGACTTACTGCCCTCCAGAGCTACCTTCTAGCTGTTATGATCTGGCAGACGGCACTTGAAATAAAAAAAGAACAAAAGATAGTGTGTGTTGTGTGTGTGTGTGTGTGTGTGTGTGTGTGTGTGTGTGCGCGCGTGTGCGTGTGCGTGTGTGTGTGTGATTAAGTGAAACAAAGACACTGGAAAGGAACAGCTATAACTTTTGGTGTAACTGGCAAAAACCGCTGAAAATGAGGCCCACTGCCTTTTCTGACAGTTACTATTCTTAAGTAAGTGACATTAATCACTATGCCTACATTACCAATGCTCACTGCTCTGGTAATGAGTTCAGTAAATTAGTCAGTCATTCAAATCGCTTCTTGTACTAGCAAAGGCAAACTAATAAAACAAATAGGATAATCAAATGTGGATGCCTAAAGAAAGTTCAGCTTACTAGCTGTGTGACCCTGGGCAAGTCACTTTACCCCATTGCCTTGCAAAAAAAAAAAGTTCAGGGCAACCGTTCTTTATCACACCAAGCTGGGTGAAATAAACTCCAGATTTTCTTAGCGCAGCGCCACTAAAGTTTCATTTAGCGATATGGGCACCAGGCTTGTTCTCAAACATCCAAAGCCTGTTAATTCTTGCTATAATAAACACTGCCTACAGTCCCAGAGAGAATCCTGGGATCAGTATAATAGCTAACATTTATAATATAATATGATATGATATAATAGAATAGAATAGAATAGAATATAACATAACATAACATAACATAACATAACATAATATAATATAATATAATATAATATAATATAATATAATATATAATATAATATAATATAATATATAATATAATATAAGTATAATATAACAACATAATAGTTAACATAGTGGCTAACATTTGTACAATTATCTCATATGATCCAAATAACAACCCTAGGAAGTAGGTGTTTTATTATTTACTATTATTAAAATTATCCCCATTTTACAGATGGGGAAACTGAGGTAAACAGATGTTGAATGACTCGCCTAGGGTCATATAGCTAATAAGTGTCTGAGGCTGAATTTGAAGTTGGGTCTCCCTGACTCCAAGGCCTAGAACTCCTTATCCACTGCACCACCTAGCTGCGTGAGTGCCCAATGTAGTTTTTTGTCAGGGGGTTGGGGGTAGGAGAAGGTCTGGACCTGTGATTTCATGGGTGCAGGTAACTTCTGATGTGGTAACTCCATTCACTGATACAGCTTTCAAACATGTCTCTAAATTGTAGCTATAGAGAAAGTACTGAGAAATTAAGTGACTTGCTCATTGTCCTGTAATGAGCATGTGATACAGGCTGGACTGTCATTTTAAGTCACCCTAACTCCAAGGCTAGCCCTCTTTCCACCAACTCCACCACACAGTTTGTCTAAACTCCACATAGCATACATGTTTAGATTCTAATTCTGCTTAGTGGCCTAATCTTTCTGCCTGCCTTAGAGCTGCTCTGAGGATTTATTTAAGACTAGCATAGGACTTTGAGGGTAAAAAAGCATATCATTCCAATGACATGACTCTAGTCTTTTGCTTAATATTTCAAAATTACAGGACTATAAAGGGGAAAAATAGCTGTACTTTCCCCGTGCTGAATTCCAAAGCTACCTGAGGAATTTATTCATATTAAGAGGAGGAATAAGAAGGTGAGAATCTCCCCACATTCTGCCCTATCTTATCACATCTGGGACAGGGTGTTCAGTTCCAGCTGTCACATTTGAGGAAGCCTATACAGAATCGAGGGAGGGAACACCCAGAGGAGGACAATTGCGACGGTCAAGGGCCTCGTGGTAACGCCATAAGACCGACTGAAGGAAATGGGAATATTTAGTCTGGTGAAAAGAGGACTTAGGGAGGACGTTGTGGCTGTCTTCAAGTATGTGAAGGAAGGAGGCTTTAAACTTGTTCTTTTCCAGAGGGCAGTGGAAGAAGCAACAGGTGGTGCTTGCAAAGAATCAAACTTAGGCTTACTTTGAGGCAAAAATGCTACCGACTGTCCAAGAGTGGAGTGGTTTGGATTAGGAGGTGGAGGGCTTTCAAGGGGAGGCTGAATGACCACTTGTACAACGTGTTACAGTAGGGACTGTTTTTCAGATATGGGTTGGTCTAAATGGCTATCAAGGTCCCTCCCTTTCCAGTGTGAATAGTAATAGCTAGCATTTCTATAACTCTTTAAGGTTTGAAAAGCACTTTGCATATATCATCTCATTTGGTCCTCACAATTACCCTGGGAGGTAGGTGCTATTCTTAGATCCAACTTACAGATGAGAAAACTAAAGGCTGATAGTGTCACGCGACTTATTTGGAGTCACACAGCTAGTAAGTGTCTAAGGCAGGATTTGAATTCGGGGTTCAAAGTCCAATACATTAGCCCCTGTACCACATAGCTTCCCAGTCTTTGATTATGCAACCCAGAAGCAAGAGAACAAGCTTGTGGATGCTGAAGCTACTTTGGCAATCTTGGTTCTGAGGGGTTCATTTTGATAATTACTAAGATTCAAGTCTTGAATGACAACTTTATTTAGGTTGAAATGGGAATCTGTTTTGTCCTAAATTCAACAAAGACTACAGCATGACTAACAGATTGCAAAGATGTTGAACACAAAGACCATATGACTTCTTTTTATCACCTGTACTATTCAAATTTCCCTTGATGTGTTTTCTTTGGAAACGGCTTTAGTAAGGCAAGACTAGCATCTGTCGCTATCATTTGGTGCAGTAAGTTAAAGTCAGATATTTAGGGAGAGGAGATCAGTTTCGCCCAAGGGTTACTCAATATGCAAAACAATCTGGCTTATATCCCCTTACCCGGAGTTTTTCCTCTGTCTTAGTGGACTGCTTACAGTCTGGATGCCAAACGGTGGAACCTGGGAAGACAAAATCCATTGGTTAACAGTAAAATAGCTCCAGAAGGAAAAAGAAGCCATAAAATTGCTGAGCATTGTTTCCATCTCCATGGCCTAGATTGAAAGGGTATCAAACAGTGGCTAAAGAACCCTTCCAAGAGGTTTTGGATGAGTTTTCCATAGTAAATCCTGATTTACTCTAAAGAGCGCATAGTTATCCTTTGCGGAAAACATTGATTACTCAGAAATGTCCTGAAACATTTTATCCATGACTATGTCAGTATACTCTGAAACTATAGAGACATATGTACATATATGTACACATATATGGATGCAAATATATATATACATACAAATTTATATATATATAAATATATAGATATATACAAATTTATATATATACAAATATATAGATATATAGATAGATGATACATATTTCTTTTTCTTCCTCTCTCTTTACCTCCCTCCTCCAATTTCCTCATTGTTTGTAACTTCAGATGTAGAAACTACCTCCAACAATGAAAATGGACAACTCTTCTGAAATTTGAAGTCTTAGAAAGTTGCCTGGGGAACTGACAGGTTGAATGGCTTGCCCAGGGTGGTTAGTGCCAAAGGTAGGATTTGAACCCAATTCTTCCTGAGTATAAGACTGACCCTCTATGCCCTATGCTAGATGACCTCTCTATAAACTACATTGGAAAGTAGGGCAGGGCTAGTCCTGGGACTTCATTGCAGGTGGTAGAAGGTCCCTCTACCAATGCAGGCAGGAAACCACTCTACAATATGTGATCTTAAAGAGTGGCCCATCATACTGAGAGGTAAATTAACTTGCTCAAGGATCAGACCAGCTGGTATATGCCAGAGATAAGACTTGAAGCAGGTCATCCTGACTCCAGTGCTAGTTTTCTATCCATCATGCCATGATATTTCTCACTAAATACATTATAATTTCATAAATGCAAGACATGTTTATGTGATATTAAAACAACCAGTAAATTCAGTGGCAGGAAAAAAAAAAAGAGGCAACTAGGATGGGTGATATTATATAACCAAAATACTAATTAATTGTCTGGATTAAATAATTAATTAGAAACATCTATTATCTCCAGAAACACAGAACTGTATCAAACAAACTTGAATATGATTTCCCTTTTTATTTTAAAATAAAAACTTTAAGAAGGTAAAAGTACCAATTTATTTGCTCATTGTCTCCTCTTTTCCAACTGTGTACATAAAACTGTTTTTTAAAAATCACTTAATCAATTTTTTTACTTCTATTCTCCACTTTGCATAATTTTGTATCTTTCCATATTTCTTTGATTTTTTTCATACACTGTCAATTTCTAAAAATCAAATAACATGCTCTTATTTTGACATATTATATCACAATTTATTTAAACATTTTCCAATTTTTGGACATATAGGTCCCCCCCCTTTTATATCATGAGAAAGTATCTATGAATATTTTTGGTCATGTTTTCCTTTTAGTAATGTCCTGAGTACATAGCTTCAGCAGCTCAGTAGCTGGGTGAAAGGCGGTGACTCATCTTATAATTAACTGTATATTCCCACATTACTATGCTAAAAACATTCACCAAATTATAGTACCCTCAACAATATACAGGAATAACTAAAGTTCCAACAGCATGAATTTTGTAACTCCAGTTACTTTGTCCATTAGATCATAAGATGGTATTTCAAAATGTTACAAAGCTATGTTAGAAATCACTTTACCTTTTAACTTTGTAGTTAATGAACCAATTAACATGAATTTCTGGATGAGGTAACACCTCCATGTACATTAAAAATTAAAACTCACATGAAAACAAGATTTGCCCAAGTCCAGAGAAAAGCTTAAAGGATATAAAAATTTTAAGAAGTTAATAAAGCCTCACTATGTAGAATATCGGACAAGTCATCTTATCTACTGGGGCTGCCATTTTCTTATTTATAAAATAAGAATTGGACTAGGTGACACCTAAGAATCCTTGTAATTGTCAACTCCATGATCCTTTGATAAGTTAAGAAGTCTTCCTGCCTATGAAAATTATGTGAATTAGGTATCTAGAAGTAGAAAGAGATTTGGAGTGGAGTGTCTTTGTTATCAGACTGCTGGGGTTCATATTCTAGCTTTGATACTTATTACTTGTATGAGCTTGGGCAAATCACTTAACCTTTTGAGGCCTTATTTTCCTCATTTGCAAAATAAGGGGATTGAACTCAATGACCTTGAAGGTCCTTTTTAGTTCTAAATCTATGATCCTTAGAGGCATGTAGGTGGTGCATTAATTGGTTAGATGTTAGGAAGACCTGAGTTCAAATATGTCCTCAGACACTCATGACCTTGAATAAGTCACATAACATCTGTTTGCCTCAATTTCCTCATCTGTAAAGTAGGGATAATAATACCATCTATCTCCTAGGATTGTTTGAGGATCAAATGAGATAATATATGTAAAGTGCTTTGCAAACCTAAAAGCAGCTACATAAATGCTAGCTATTGTTGTTGTTGTTGTTAATATTATTACTACTATTATTATTATTTTGGGCAGTTACTAGTCAAGTCACTTTAACCTCACTGGACCTATTTACTTGTCTGTAAAACGAGGGAAATTAAAATTGATAGTCTTGCTAGTACTTCTCTAATGTTCTATGATAAAAACATTTTTTATTATTATTGTGAGGGCTTTAAACTTTTAAAGTCAATGATATTGCTCTCTCTCTCTCTATATATATATATACACACATACACATATATACATGTATAGTATATATTTTGAAATAATTTAAAGTTTAAAATAACTTCTAAGTGGTTTTTATGCCATAGTATATAATACTACAATAGTCTATAATACTATGTAACTGATGGCAAGAAAAACAGATTTAAAATTCAAACTACTATTGTCCACTAAAGTCTGCTTAACAAGCATTTCCCTCTCCCACATATTTCTCATTCCATCATGTAAAAATTGAAGTAATTTTAGCACCATGAAGGGCAGAGGAAGTCTTGTTAATGCAAAGCAAGCTAACTAGGAGAGCCAAGGTCAGATCCCAGGAAAGCTCGAATTCTGAAGGCTCTCTTGAGCACCAGGCGAAAGCCCAGAACTCCAGGGCTGTTTCTAATTGCCAGCAGCACACAATGTAAACATTCTCATCAGGAGGTCAGATACACATGGAATGTGACTCAGAGCCTCAGATATTTGGCTTTGACTTTAAGCTGCGGAAGAAGAAATCGCTCATTCTTCTCAGGGGAAGTGTTGAGAGAATGGGGAAAGTATACCAAAGGTTGCCTTGGAATAGAATCTCAGGGTAATCTCTGGGTCTTGGGATTTTTCCCATCCTAACACATGCTCTAGTATTGTTAATATAGTGTGCCAAGGTGGTACAGGGAGTTTTTAATCACCTCCTCCATTCAACTCCCAAGACTTTTTAAAATGCTGTGATTCAGAACCCTGGAACCTATGCAATTCATTCACTAGTGGACATAAAATCTCCCAATTTCTTCTAACTCCCTAATTTTAGAATGATATCATCAGTATTCCATGAAGTTCTAAAATGCTGACTAGAAACCATAAGAAAAACAAGGCTGTTCATCCTTGAATATGCCACTTCTGTTACGGCTGCATACAGAGCACATCCGTCCGAAGGTAAATGGATTACAATGAAGTCCATGTGACAACAATAAATTTTGGACACTTGACACTTACTAGCTGTGTTATCCTGGGCAAGTCACTTAACCCCAATTGCCTCACACACACACAAAAAAGGGCAAAAAAACCCCCCAAAAATGAATTTTAGCATTCTTCCTGGTCATTGGCCATCCACTCAGAATAACTTGGTAAAGTGGAAAGAGGTTTGGACTTAGCACCCTATGGCATGGGTTTGGTCTTACCTCTCTATCACTGTCTGGTTGCATGATCTTGGGAAAGTCCCCTCACTTTTCTAGACATTACCTTCCTCATTGGAGTTAAAATTGCTTATCTTACCTAATCTTACAGGACCAAAGGATGTAAATTCCTTGAGGGCAGGCATGTTTTGTCTTTCTTTTTATCCCCAGTGCTCCATATAGTGCCTTGCTTATAGTAGGCACTTAACAAATGTTTGTTGCTTGACTGACTGAAAATGTATTGGAACCTACAAAACTATAAATATCAGGCAGTATTATTAGTATTAAAAAGTTAGTAATCTGTGGCCGTCATTTTGCAAAGTGCCTCCAAAATCATATTAGGTGGGAGTCTTTGGAATAGGAATGTGACTGTAAAAGTTGCATTTTGGCAGGATAGGCCAAATAACAAAAATTTCTCTTATAGGCAGAATAATTTCTATAAGCACCTCCTATGTGCCTGAAAAATACAAATCAACTTCAAAGCACAGATGAAAACATACAAGGTTACTATGAAATGAGAAAAAGTGAAATACAATGCCTTAACAATCCAGGTACCATGATTATAGGAAGAAAAAAAAAGAGCAGTGTTTCCTGGATACTTGCTAATTATACCCATAAGCTCTTTTCTAATTAGAGAGATTTATTTTTTCCTTCTAAAAATAGCAAAAAGCTTAATGGGGAAAAGATTCTTTCTTATTTCCTTTCTATCACCTTCTAAGTTTTTAGAGGAGTACAAAAAAAAAAAAGCAAAAATCACCCAACAAACCCAAAACTGAAAACATTTTCATACTGGAGAAATTGCTCAAAATTATGTTCCAAATGACCTTCTAGAAATGAATATTACATCAATATCTCCTCCACTTAGAGATTCCTTCCTCCCTTGAGGACTCCAAATTCTTCCTCTGGGGCTGTGGATATGAGCTGTGGTAGTTTAATGGGACAAAAGAAAAGGTGTGATGCAACATGACTAATGTAGAAATGTTTAATATGATTATATATGTATAGCGTATATCAGATCGCACACCATCTTGGGGAAGGGAGAGAGAAAAAAATTCGGAACTCAAAATCTTATAAAAATGAGTGTTGAAAACTATCTTTACATGTAATTGGAAAAAATAAAATACTATTAAGTTGGGGGGGGGAGAAACAAAAAAGAAAAGGTATGATGTAATTCACCAAGTAAGGTAAGATATATTTTCTACTTAACCTAACCAGATCAAAGGAAACTGGGGGGAAAGAGGGGGAGCAAAAAATACCTGATTGAAACCAATGGCCTTGAAGGACCCTGAAGAAAGGAAAGAGAAAACATCTATCAAGCAGTTTGACTTTATAAACTCCAGCTCATCCTGGCCTTTTCTTTTCTTATGAACACTTTGAGGATAGAAGAAGGCTAGGTAATTCTCTTTAACTTCCAGGCTAAGAATGGTAGATTTTTACACTTATTCAAAACTACTCTATTCCATAGTGACACACAGTGAAAGGGACTTCATGTAGTGGCTTATGCCCAAAGACAGGTATAGCTGCAGCTGTGGGTCTGATTAATTAAGTAATTACCTAGCCTCTGGCCCTATTTATTAGGGTAAGTTTAACAGCTACTGAAGAGCCCTTTTCTGGAACTCTTAACTGTTGTTCTTTGCTCTAAAACAGAGGGGGATTATGGGAAAGTGACTGTAGAGTGAAAAAAATGTATCAACAAAACAATGAAGTGAGGAAAACCCCACCTAAACATTACCCCAAGTCCTTGGTTTTCTTTCTGGAACAGAGAAGATGCTCTGTTGCTGGGTCCATCTTACCTTGAAGATACATTTCCTCTCCTTCTGTGAACATCTGGTTGCACCTGCTGCATCGCGCACAGCTTGGATGGTAGTGTTTATCACCGGCCTACAAGGAAAAAGAGGGAGAGAGAAACGCTTTACTTTATGCCACATTCTTCAGTCACCACTGCAGACCATCTTGGTCTTGTCTGTTTCTAGCTTTCTGGAGTTAGGCAGTAGGCAGGCTTAGGGAAGGTAGGAGTTGGGGAGTGATCAGAAATAATGCTAATTTCATGGGGCAGCTAGGTGGTGCAGTAGATAGAGCTCTGGCCTTGAAGTCAGAAGGACATGAGTTCAAATCCAGTCTCAAACGCATGACACTTACTAGCTGTGTGACCTTGGGCAAGTTATTTAACCCCAATTACCTCACGAAGAAGAAGAAGAAGAAGAAGCAGAAGAAGAAGAAGCAGCTAATTTCACATTAAATTTATTACCCTAAGATTCCTGGAGGCTGAAGGCCAAAAGTCAGAACAGAGTTTGGCTCCTGAAGCCAGGATGCCTGTCATAACTGAATGAAGATGCCACCCCTCGGCTTTACTTGGTTTCAAGAAGGTTCCTTCTTTGAGCCTGAGCTTTCTTGGTTTATATCAGGTTGTACCCAATTTTAGCATGATGAGTGCACCAAGGGCTGGATTGAAATAACTCACACATCTCCCATAAACCTCACCTCAAAAAACAATTAAGAGGAGGAATTTCATTTCCTTGGACTACAGCTAACCTAGTAAAAAACAATTCTCTACTCCTCTCCTCCTTTTAAATAGGTTCCAATCTGTTCTCTCCCCAAATCTAGTGCATTTAACAGATTCCAATCTGTTTTCTCTGCTGAATAATCCAGAGCTAATCAGATCTAGCTAGCTAGCATCAAGAAGACAGATGACCATGACAGACTTCTGAAACTGCTTTTATCTCAGGGGACCAAATTTCCTGCAATGTAGTACCTGTGCTGACCGAATCACAATGTCTTCTTAAATTGGGACTCTTCTAAAGGAGAAGATTTTGCTTAGGCAGCCCTACATTATTCATAGGTATTTCACAATTCCTGAGATAACAGATGCCTTCATGGCAGGTGCCACTGGATGCAAGACCAATTCTCTAGGCAGGTGCCAAGTCATGTTATGTTTGTATGACAAAAAACAAAAGGGAAAAAAAATCCTCTTTCCCCCCTGACAAGCAAAAATAAATCTCCCAATAATCAAATAACAACTAAAAACAAAACAAAAACAAACTTTTTACCACTGAATAATTACCTGGTAGGGACAAATCTCCCTTGGGATCAAATCCTTTTATCAAGGTAACTAGAGAATTGTCAGTGGTAAAATGCTGAGCACTAAGCATGTGCAAGGTACCATAGAGAGGCAGACTTAGATGTGGTCATTGATCATGCTGGGAGAAGAGAGGTCAGAGCACTAAAGCCCCTCGGCGGAAACTACAAAAGCACTTTAACAATCCAATCTGAGTGTAGGGCCAAGGTCAGCTATACAGCGTGGGGGAAGACAGCCTGATGTCTTGACACAAATAAAAGCTGGAACTTAATTTCACAAACTTAGAGCTGGAGGGGACTTCAGAAACCATAGTCTAGTTCAAGTCCCTTATATTATGGATGAGGAAACTGAGGCACAGAGAAGTTAGGTGACTTGATTGGGGTCACACATATAGTAAGTGGCAAAGTCAAGATTTAAATCCAGGCACTCTGACTTTGCCAGTTATATTATGTTGATTTTCAATCTTGTCATCACTGTAATGATGAGTTCCAAAGATGGAGCCTATAAACAGGTAGGCTCGTTTCCAGGAATATCTTTTATTCTCACTAAAATGTTAACTGGAGATCAAATGAAAAAATAAAGCTGTTCTGCTTTGAATATGCCACTTCTATTATGGCTGAAGACAAAGCATTATTTGTCCAAAGGCAAATGCATTAGGACAAAATTCATGTGACAGCAAATTTTGGCATTCTTCCCAGTCATAGGGTGTTCAGTTAGACAGAACAACATGGTAGAGTGGAAGGAGTGCTGGACTTATTCTTTGACATGGGTTTGAGTCTTACCTCTGTCACATTCTAGGTGTATGATCTTGGGCAAATCATTGAACTTCTAATCATCAGCTCCTCATTAGAGTTTAAATCACCTATCTTATTTAACCTCACAGGATCAAAGCATGCAAATTGTTGGGGTTTTTTTTTTGATGATGACGTTGGGGGTGAGTACATGGGAATTCTAATCTGAGTGACCCTAAAGAAACTTTTACTCTTCACAGTCATTTTCAGCATCAGGGCATTTATGATATAAGCAAGTATAAAGAAAAGAGTTATAAAAACAGGAGGTTGGTGGTAGTAGTGGTGGTAAGAGAATTAAAGGAATCCCCAATTTCTAATGGCTCCAAGTCAGGACTGGGGATCATCAGAGTATCAGACATATAATACACAAATCCACTTGGACACTCTCTAATAAGAGATGGGGTAGGGATTTTTAACAAATGGAAGAAGGAGTGGGCAAATCACAGGAATGGGAGACATTCTTATGAAGAGGCACAGAGATTGGAAAGGGAATGTTATGTAAAAGGAGCAGCTTGCATTTACAATAAAAGTCACTCTAAGCTTTACTGAGCATTTTCTTCACAGCAGTCCTGTGAAGAAGTGATGGGGCAGTTAGTCCAAATATTTCCATTTCACAGACTGGGAGACCAAAGCTCAAAGAAGTTAATGGACTTGACCAGTCACAAGATGGTAAGCATCAGAACCAGGACCAAGGTAGTCTTGTAAGTATTGGTAGACATACTTTTAAGGTTAATCTGTATTATTAACCTTTTCTTCATCACTTTTTAAAGTCTAGAGACAAAACAAAATATTGAGTTCTGATTGGAAGCATTTGCTAATTTCTGAGGTCTAAATGCTCACACTGACAACAGACCCAGCTGGATCTCAGTAGCTAGTATGCTTAAATCTAGGTATTCTAGCTTTAAGACCACTGATCTTTCCAAAAGTCACCCAAAAGAAAAAGTCACCCTCTGGCAAAGGTTACATCTTACCAAAAAACCAGAGTGGAGTGTCTGGTTTATTACTGAGGCTTTGAAAGGTCTACACCTACACAGAGTACTAGCAATTGCTGCTCTTTGAATGCTGTTTATTTAGTGATAATAAGCCTACAAATTAGTTCTGCCTTTCTGGCTGTTAACATCACAATATTAAACCTGAAGTAAAGTATAGTTTGAACTTTAGCTAACACCTCTCCTGGAACTACATCTAGGGGAGCATAGTTACTGGAATGTCAAAGGTTCTCATTATAAGAAAATCTTAATTGTAATGTTCCCCATAACATGAATTCCAAGGATAGAATACAGTAAGATTCTGGAATAGATAGGTGATGTGTACACCAATGCACATTTATTTGTATGCAAAGAATATATGAATTTTATGACATGGGGGAATCATGAATTAGAAATCTGCCTAGTTCTTAACTAGCTTTGCTATAGATTGGAAGCTATACTGTTGGACTAATTTCAGTCTCCCAAGCTGCTTGGGGATATTGACCCCCCCCCCCATCTCATCCATGATGCAATGCCTCTTTGGTGGTTAAGGGAGAAAACCCCAAACTAATAATGCCACATGAAGACTTGGCCATTTATAAAAGAAAAGAAATATAAGAAGTAGCTTAAACACTATTATTTATACAGTCATTTTAAGCCTTGGCCTTATACTTTCATGAAAATAAAATTTTATTGATGTCCTTCTGTTTAGAGTAGCTTTTTTTCTGTATATACACTTGCACTCTGCTGCCCCCCCAAACACCTGCTGTTGTTCAGTTGTTTTTCAGTTATGTTTGACTATTTGTGACCCCATTTGGGGTTTTCTTGGCAGAGATACTGGAACGGTTTGCCATTTCCTTCTCCAGCATATTTTACAGATGAGGAAACTGAGTCAAACTGGGTTAAGTGATTTGTCCAGCGTTACGCAGCTATTAAATGTCTGAGGCTAGATTTGAACTCAGAAAAACGACTCTTCCTGACTCCCGGACTGGCACTCTACCCACTGTGCCACCTAGCTGCCCTCAATCCCCTTATTGTACAATTATAATGAACCAGCTTTGCCCCAAAGAAGAGATATGAAAATGCATTTCCCTCGCTCCTTTTCAGAGGAAGGTGACCCTAGAGAGCAAAGAGGGCATTAGCTGTTGGATTTGATTGATATGTAAATTTTGGTTGACTGCTTTTTTTCTTTTTCTTTTTTAGTCTCTTAAGAGATACCTCAGAGTGGAGGAGAGGAGGAAGAAAATGGGAAATTAAGATGATGTAGAAATAAAATATATCAATCAAGACCAATTTTTAAAAAATGCAACCGTAGCATGTTTCTGTATCTGCTTTTCTCTGAAGTTCTAACAAAACTATGCTATGCTTGAAAAATATTTTTAACTACATGATTCCTTTTATTTCTATCACATTCACATCTGACTATCTCTTTCTCTCCCCTCCCCACAGAACTATCCTTTGTAACAAAGATTAAAAAAGAAAGGAGGATCAGATGGCTCATCCAATGGGTGGGAATAGTAGTGGGAAGGAAGAACCACACTTAATTCAGCCTCTCTAGTCTTCTGTGTTCACTCCCACTTCTCCCTAGGATAGAATTCAGGGACAGGTGCTGAAAATATTTTAGGCCTGCCATTTCCTAATACAAAACACTTTTAATGTCTTAATGGATTCCCCTTCCAATTCATTTCAAGGAATAAAAATGTAAAAACAGAGCCCCCCCCCCAAAAAAAAAAGACAAGATGAGGTTAAAAAAAAAAAGAAAGCACACAAAGTTTCATAATCATGTATTCATCCCAAAGTACAGTTCATGCAAGAACAATTGGGAAAACAACACTAACAAATCCTTCCTCTCCCCAGTTTCTTTTTTATACTCCTCCCTGATCCCATTCCTGGTAGTCTCGGGTAGTTGGTAACCATGGAAACCATTGCTGTCTCTCCAGCAGCTGTTGGGGCAAATCCAAGAGATTAAAGGCCAAGAAGCATCAATGCTGTGCTGAAAGCAAGCCACATCTAGAGCAGCAGGAAGGAATGGGATTCCAAAGTCTG